TGGACAATTTCTTCAACAGATGGGGAAAATCTGACATGTGACTCTTTCAATAGTAGTTCCTTTACAGCAAAAGAATTTGAACTTGTTAGTTTTAAAGTTATGTTTTGACTATATTGTGAACAACAAAAAAGAAAATCCGAATCCACTTTTTAATACTAAAAATTGGAGAAACATTGTTCATCCATATACCATAGCAGGCTTTTCTTTTTTTATATTTGGTATCTGACTATAATACCTCTATGTACCAATGGTTTTTTAAAAAACGCACATTGATTTTGTTTGACAGAAAGTAAGAGCCATGATTAGCCTTCAGTTTGTTAGGCAGACAAGACTATACTTTTTTGAAACCTCATGTTTTCCCGTGTCATATGTGCAAAATGTAAAATTTCATAATTTGCTTGCACTGTGATCAAGTTTGCACCTGTATACCACGCACATCCTTTTGAAAATTTAGCTTAGTGTCTATATTTCTAAATGTAAAACTTTATTCAAGTACAGTTGTTATTCTTTACATATTTTTCAGACAACCAAACAAATAATGCACATGCGAAATTTCAAATCCTGTTAAGAGCCTCACCTAAATGCCCAGCATAAATTTTGTTGGTATTATCATTCGCTTTACTGTGGCATCAGTGCCATGAATAAGCTAACTGTGTGTCAGATTTAGATGCCCAACCTCATTTATACACCTTGCCCCGCTATGGCTCCACTGAAGTTAACAGTGGAGTAAATTGCTAAAGTGTGAGGGTATAAGGGTTCAAAGTTAACATGACAATCAGTAAATCAGTATGTAAGAACATTTGTCTACGGCAAATTGAAAAAGCCTTAAAGGAATTGGTAGTTCTTTTTATGCTTAAAACGAATCACACGGCACAAAAAGCTTAAACTATTTCCTCACTTTTTCAGATTTATTTTGTATCAATAAAGATATGACTTTGGTCCTACATTATATAATTACGTGTGCTTTAATAGACAAAGAAGATTTTGAAGTCACGTTTAAGTTTGGGTTCCTAAAGATTGCAAATGATTTCAGACACCAGCTGCTATAAATACATTTAAGCTCGCCTCCCCATTCAGCAATGACCATGCATCTACAATATTTTCATTATCTCAAAAATGCTTTGGCTTCATCAGCAACAGATGAATTCATTAATTTCTTTATTAATTCAAATGATTTTTTTCAATTTTTATATGCCCCAAGGTTGTCTCTGCAAGATCAGCTCCCTCTGTGTTCCATAAAATTGTAATCAATCTCTATTATAGTCATGAAAATGGTATTTGTCACTTTGCTGAGGAAAAAAATAATCAATATGTCTTGCAGGGCAGAACAGGCATTTAATACTGCGAATTGATGCCTGTTAGAGAAATTTAGCTTGCCAGCAGTTTGGGACAAGCTAATAGAAATCCAAAAAACTCACCCAAGGTTGACAGATGAATATACAGACATGCAAAAAAAATTAATATTTGGGCATTTTGAATGGCCTGTCATTTCATATGTTGGAGCGAACATAGATTTAGACACTCAAATCCCAAAGACAAAAACCCAAAAACATGTACATAAAAGGAACTTTTGACTCTGTTATCATTTTCATTTTGTATCAATACTGGAAGAATAAATAGTCTCCTGTATTTTAAAGCATAGCTCCAGACTAGAGAGAGTATCAAAAGCACTGTTGAGTTTTAAGCAGTAAGACAATACAAAGATTGTGTGGTGGCACTGAATACCTGAACGCTTTGGAGTGCACTGCAAAGAGAAGCCTGCATATTCACGAAATAGCAACATTCTGCACCATGGCACTGTTCAAAGTCTTCTGGTGGACCATATGAAAAATCCACAAGTAAAATTGTTGTAACTTAAAGATCTAGAAAAGGTCCAGCTGTAAGTTTAATAATAACTAGTGTCAAATTCTCAAAAGACAATATGTAAAACACTCCTTAATTTTAACAAAGGTACCAATAACTACTTTAGGAATGTGATCTCCCTTCTTCCCTCCCTTCTACTGCCATCTGCAGAACTGTCAAAAATACGTCACCCTTGATTATGACTGTCTGTTTAATTCCCTTGTTTTGTTGATTTTAATAAATAACGTTTAAAGTTGCAGCATAAAAAGCAAAAACTGCAACTGCTTGGAACATTGCAGTGGTTTGAGAATTGGCCTGCTAAACCCAGGGTTGTGAGTTCAATCCTTGAGGGGGCCATTTAGGGTTCTGAGGCAAAAATCTGTCTGGGGATTGGTCCTGCTTTGAGTAGGGGGTTGGACTAGATGACCTCCTGAGATCATCTCCTGACCTCCCCTCCAACCCTGATATTCTATGATTTATGTGAAAAAATATTTAATTTTCAATGTATATTAATCTGTCCCATCCTTTGATTTACTCTATCAGGCTATTATTGCCATCCTGTTTAATATTGAAAGTTGTATTTCAGGTTGCAATCATGTTAGAGATTTTGTGCCTCGTAGATAAGTTTGTACAGTGGGTTAAATGTTAGTAGAATTAGCAATGTATTTGGAGGAAAGCATTTTTGTCTCCTTGTACGGCCAACAAAACGAAGAAGAGGAATTTATGTGATGGCATAGAGAAACCTACCAGAAAATACTGCCAGAGTTGGAGTGATGGCAACCTGATATCCTCTACAATGGTAATGATTTGCGAGTTTACAGTTTAAAGCCCCAAAAATGGGAAACGGGCAGACTTCTGAGTATGGGCATGGGGGTCTGCCTAGGCACATGCACTTGCAGGACTGAGGCCTAAGTCAGCGATACAGGCCTGAGTAGGCTGAATGCGTGAGGCAGTCTATCAGGAACTGAGGATCTCTTTAATTGCTTGATTTGGACAACTTACCCATAGTTGAGAGGTAGACCAGGGTCACTCTTGTGGTAAGAATTAATTGTATTATGTCTTCTTTTGTCATTAAATCTGCTTCTGCAAAAATTGTGACCACTGTGCCAAAACTCATTAGAAGGTGCAAGCATTCCATTTATGGCAAATCTGAAGCATCATCCCATACATCATGGGTAGAAAGACAAGACACCAGGAATGTGGTTTAACCAGGCTGCAACTTTTAAGTAACACATCTGGGAACTATCTGGCATTAACTTGCCCAATGCAGGTAATTCCTTTGTAATTTGTTTCATCTGGTGGAGATCTGACAGCAGCTAACCTGGTCTCAGCGATGTTGCTGAGACCCCATCATCCTCCCTTTGTATGAGGGCTAAGGAGGGTGGGGAAGAGGGGGCTGTCTCCCTACTGTAGCCAGACGTTAGGAACCCATTCCCCACTTTCTTTAGGAGATGTCTTCTAATCTGCTTCCAATTCCAGTTCAGGAAACCAGCCTTCTGAACAAGTACCTGCATTGGGCACCTACCAAGTTGCAACAAAATAAATTTTACAACCTAACCTAGCCGCTGCTGAGAGGAAGATGAAAAAACCTCACACCACTCTGGCCAACCTGGCAGTCAAGGGATAAATTCATTCCCAGCACCCAAATGGTTACTAGCATGATACCACAGCAAGGCCACCAAACCCAGTGCTATTCTAATCCAAGGTTTTCTTCCCTGTGCAAGTGGTGCTGCTGGGGCACGAGGAAGGGTCTATTAGCCCTGCGTGGGAGCCAGGAGGCTTATGCTGCTTCAGCCAATGAACCACAGTATCCCACTCAACTCTAGACAGGGGGCACAATCCTTTATGGGAACAACAGTTTTCTTCCCTCTGCTGGCCCAGAGGGAAAGCCCAGCACCTCCAAGTCTGCCGGGCGAGAGGCATGTGTGCTAAAACCACATCATAAAAGTCCTTAATTATTATTTTTTAAAATATATTCATAGAATTAATACTTTAAATGTGAGTCTCCTATGACCCCTCTTCTCTTCACCCTTGTGGCAGAAATACTCAAAGACACCTGTACATGTTAGGCCCAATCCTTCTACTATTGAAATTAATGGGAAAATCTCCCACTGAGTTCAATGGGGATAAGATTGGGCAAAAAAAAGTATCTGACAATACGGATATGCCCCTTTTTTCCTATTTATTTATTTGTTAAAGCTAGTTTTTTGTTCTCATTTTGTAAAAGAATTTGATCCTAAGGCTGAAAACACATCAGTCAAGTTTCTTTGTAGCCAATAAAAAGTTCTTGAAAAATCAATTTACGTTGAACATGATAATTGACCGTTAAATAGTGCAGTTCTCACAGGAAGCTAAAAATAATTCAATTAAAAATATCTCTGCATTCTTAAACAACAGAAGTCAAACTAAACAGAAATCCAGCAACACTAACATATGTTTCCCCCCAAGCAATCTGTGTAGTTTCTATTTTACAAATGAGCTTCACCTGCTATTATACATGTAGTGGCAAGCTATTGGTAAGGATGACAGAAGTTAGTGTTGCATGACACTGTCAACATTTATATTTATGCTTTGCATGAGCGCAAACATTTGTAATTCAGCCTAGGAAAGCTGAAGTTTTATTACAGAAGATGACAAAGTGTTACTACAGATAGTTCAAAACATAAGATATTCCTATCTACATTGTCAGGTCTGCTGTGTGTCAGATTTACACATATGGTTACAAAATGGTTATGTGTATGTATATACAATGCCTTCAAAGATAGACATGAATTTGCATTCAGCTGTCTTTCCCCTTGCCCCTCTTGCACTTTTGTCCAAAATATAAATCTTCTCAAACAAACCAGCATTTGAAGGACTTGCACACATCCTGTATTCCTTATAAATGGATAAGATGGATCTTTATATGTTTCAGTTGCAGAGATATGAGAGTAATAAAGGTATTAAGTATTAATATTTTTATAATCAGTATGCTAGGCCCTGAGGGAAATATTCCCATTGATTTTTCCTTGGGTTTATTGACATAATTTGCACACTACTGATAACTGAGTTTTACCTGCTTGAAAGCATAAATCCCACTGAGAAAAGGGAAAAGGGTATTTTTCAATTAAACTATCTTACATGAGCTTACTGACAAAGTGAAATAAATGTGAACATACCATGAAGATTAAAAGAAGATGAGCTTTAACTGGATGTCCTCAGTTTTCAGATGGATAATCCCCTCCTTCTCATTTCATCTGCCATGTTCTTCATTCATCTCAACGAGGTCAGCCAAAGATTCGTCCTAAGTAGAGTGGACACATATGTTACAACAACACAAGCAAAGAAGTGGTTCATCTTTTTTCCTCATCTTTCCTTGGGTATAAAGCAGTATAGTGAAATGTGATATCATTGCAATGTTTCTAGAGCTTGTTAGGTAACAATGCAAATACCCTGGCCTCTGCAGGAGTTACAATCTATTTAAAGAGTTTTCTTCTCTTATTTTATAAGAGAATCTAATATACCTTGTTTTCTCTGTATTATTAAATTCTTTCAACTTCTAGGTCATCTATTTCTTAACAAGAGCAATAAAATTACAATATAAGGGCTGGATTCTGCTTCCATTACAGTCAATAAAAAGCTCCTGGTGATATGAATAAAGCAGACTTCAGGCCTAAAGTTTTTTCAAAAGGCAGCCAAAGTGGCTTAGAAAGTGCTCAAGCTTAAACTTACTTTTTTCAACATTTGGCTTGATTCTAAATGAGCAGCAGCCGTTATCATCAAACAAGGAGTGCCTTACAAAGTCTCCAGCCCCACTCAATTTACCATAGCAAGCATGCTACAGATTCAGAGCGTGCATCCTGCTCAATTTATTTCCAATGGAGAAAAGTGAAAATCTTATTTTCCCATACTCTATTTATTTCATGTGACTTTAATATTCCAAAATGGAGGTTTTCCTGCTAAAAACAACTGCCCTGCCTCACTGTTTTACTCCGACGAGAAGTCCTTAATCCCCATTTTGCTATTGACCAGGTAGCGCCCAGTCACAGCTGGTAACAACTTTTGATCACTACCAGTCTGGGTTGGATTTGAACTTGTGATACATAAATGAAAGACTTCTGTAGCCTATCCCTGAGTCATTAGTTTCCCTTTTGCTTACTATTTATTAACATAGCCTATTCACAGGTAGAAAGAGTACTTTATGTATAAAATTAAAACCTATGAAAACCATTTTCGATTACTCTTTTTACATATTGTATACAAAGCTAGGTATAATTGTGACTTTTTAGTCCTTTTTAATAATTTATTTGAGCAATTTATTACTTTCTCCATGTAGGGTCAGGTTCTGTCACCCATACCCACAATGAAAAGGGCCCTGCTCTACTACAAGTCAAATAAATGAAATAAATGTGACTGCTTACAGAGTAAAGGTGACAGAATTTCATTTTCTGTGTAATTCCACCCACAGAAACAGAGAGTAAGAAACATTGGTGACAAAATCCCTAGCAAAGCATAACCCAAACCAGATTAGTCTGACTGCCTCTCAGACTATGACAATACATTTCACTCAGTTTTCCCCCAGCCTTAGTTTTCCTTTTCCTACATGTTCCACCCAATCAAAAAGTTTCATAGTTAAGAATGATACTTCTTTTCCTATGTTTTATCATTTTGTGTTAAGTCCATTGCAAACTCAATTTACTGGCTTGAGGCCAAAGGGTACTGAAAGAATAAAGATGGATATGCAATATCACTGATATTTCACTCTAATGACACACACAGCAGAACTTCACTCATTCACACTAGCAGGGGACATACCAGTACAGATTAGTTAGGATGCAGAATGGCGATTGCGGAGAGTGCCAGTGGTGTGGGTGACGCTCATTTCTCCGCAGAGAAGAACGCACATTTCCTTCAATATCTCTTCCTGGCACTCAGCAAAGACCTGAAATAGGGTTTCTCTATATACTATTGATCCCTTCCTTCTCTGGTATGTGCTACTGCTCAAAGAGGCAGGATGAGGCTTTCTGGTCCCAAGGTGGCCACAGGAATTGGCCAGCAACACTGAGCTAAGTGGGCAAGCTTCGGAGAGACACTGCTACAACCCCATGCCCTTCCTTTGCAGCAGTGGCGCTTAAGAGACTTGTTTCCATTGCCACCCCAGTTCTTCCTTCAGCATGGAGTCCAGATGTGGGAAGATATTATATCTAGTCACAAGTCCTGTTGCTGATATGAAAACAGAACAGCTCCCAACTCTTCCCCCAGGGTGCAGCTTTAATCTCTTCCTTTGTTAGGACTCAATGCCCTGGGCAGAATGGTAGACCCTAAAAGAACTGCCATCACCATGAGTGAAGAGAAGAGGGGCAGGGCAGCAACCTCAGCCCTTGTGTAGACCCTCATGCACCATGCCACAAACGGGTTTCTGAGGCCACAGTAGGAATGCTATAAGGCTGCTCCATCTGCCTGAGCCACAGCAGCACTACTAAACTGGGAGAAGGCCAGAGTCAGAGGAAGAAGAGCCAAACCTAAATAGAAAAAATTCACTTCAGAGCTTATAGGGAACTTGACATGACCTAAGCTGACCCTACGTATGGCACAGCAGCAAAACTTTACATGAGGTGCTCCAGTAAACTGCAAACCTGGAAATCTGCGTTCATTGTAGCTTTGTGGCTTGCCAAAGAATACAGTAGGTGAGCTTTTTGATGTTGCTGGTATTGACTACTGAAATAAGAGAACCTCTCCCACTCTTATCCACAAACTGAAAGAGTAAGATATTATTTATACAGCTGAAACTAGGACCAGTCTGTTATTCATGCTGTATATGGATGCCGACCACCTAAACACAACTAAGTGTGAGCCATTACAGTTGACATCTCTCACCCTATCACTGTGTTTCATTTTTTGAACAACACGGATTGAAACCCTTTAAAACGGGGCAGCCATTACCTTCTTTATTATTAAATTAAGTTGTGTGGAGTGCTGACCCACAAGGAAAGTTTTGATTTGCAGATAAAGAAGTGATTCAAACTGTTTTGAAATGTATGAACATTGTATCCTCCCCCCTCTTGCTTACTCCATACTCTGACTATAAATTTTCTGAAAATGTACAATATGCTAATTAATGTATGAGTTAAAGTTAATTAAAAACTGGGTCCTTTAGGAATTTTCTTCCATATAGTTAAAAATAACTAATGTGCAAAGGCTATATTTGAAGAAAATAGGTTGCAATTAAACTAAGTTATTAATGATTCTTTTTTCTACTTGTCATGATTATTTAGGCCGCAGACAGGCTCTGGTCAACAACCGTTGTGACAGTATAGGTAACTGAACCAATCTCCACCCTTCCTCTGCTAATGTGCATGCAACAATTCTATTGACTATAATGAGTCAGTAGTATAAGAGAGTGGATTTATGACTCAAGGATTCTCACTGGTTGATTACTTGGCCCAGTCATCACTGCTCTTTAAGGGTATGTCTACACAGCAAAGAAAAACCCATGGCTGGCTCGAGGACCCTGGGGGGTAGGAGAATCCCAGAGCTCAGACTGCAGCTTGAGTCCAGAAGGCTATACAGCAGTGAAACAGCCCCACAGCCCAAGCCAGAGTCAGCTGGCACAGGCCAACCATGGGTTTTTTTTTGCTCTGTAGACAGACCCTAAGTGTTCCATGGCTGCATATTAGCTTGGACATCAGTGTTTGAAAGGCTCCTCATGGCACTGTTGCCTTGGTTCCACTGTGTACTGCCAACAACACTGCTGGGGAAATGGAGACCGAAGTATAGGGGAAAGACATTAGGACTGAGGGAACTGGCTCCCTCTGCCCTTCCTTCACATAGCACTGGTCTCACTCAGAAAGTCCTCTAAGCCAACAAGTCAATTGCAAGATTCATTAGTACACTTTGGCCGCTTTGTGCTGCTCTACTTTACAGGTGAAATTGCTCTTAAAAGTTAAAATTAATAAAGAATTTAAGATTCGTATTACAGTCTTCAAACCATTCCAAATGTCACATGATAGTATTTTTTTCGTGCTGTTGTTTAGTGCTCATTTATGCAACTTTTAACAATTAATAAACACTCCCCCAGGGTATCTAAGAGATGGAAACTATGTTACAGTGGAGCTAAGGTTGAGAGTACATATCAATAATGTAAAAGTAAAAAAAAAAAAAAACAGGGATGTAATAATAATCCCCAAACCCAGCATTATAATTCCAGGATTTTCGGAGTTAAATTAAGTTAAAATACAGAAATCTAAACAGATTAAGAAAAGCACAAACAACTTCAACTTTGCCCTAAAGTGATATCCTGAAGAGGAAAATATGAAAAAATGAATACAAATTTAAGAATTAGTTTAATCTATTCTGGGACCACAACCACTGAATTATTTAATCATAATTATATGATAATTGCATGGCATCAGTAAAGGGCAGAGTTAAATTTTTTAGGGTGTCTTGATTCTGCATTTCTATAGTGTTTGGATTTCTTGTAAGTATAATTTCAATTCTGAATTTCCTGGGTTTGTAATGCTTGGTTTTGAGGTAATTACACCATCCATGCAATGTTTTTAACCCTTACATTACTGATACATACACTCAACCTTAACGCCATTTTAAAGGTTTCTTGTTGGTTTTGCTGCTGGGTGTGGGTGTGCGCGCATGCATGTGTCTTGGAATAGAAAATTATAGAAGTCATAATAAAATATTTGTTAAAATGATTTACCTGAAACAGTGAAACAACACAAACAGAGCACATACATAAATTTTTAAGTGATAAAAAGCTCTACACAGGCAGAGATATGTTATACAATTATAGCACTTTACTGTATTCCCTTAATGTAAAAAGCAGTCATTACATTGACATATGTCCTTCATTGTTGCACTACAGGTTTGTTTTATTTATTCTAAAGAGGAGAAGGTTGCTAGAAGTTATGTACTGCGCTTGCGATGAAATCTTGAAATCCTGGTATACTATACTTATCTTTCATGATGATTTTTTATACGATTGCTCTAGTAAACTGCTAATTATATTATTCCTCTATATTAAACCCTTTAAAAAATCTAAATATATTCTTTAAAAAACATTTAACCACACACACACACACACACACACAAACACACACCCTGTTATGGGGCAGCTGCCCTTTATGGGGAGCTAGGGCTCAGTCTGCCTGTGACTGCCATGTGAAGGCCTCTCCTGGGGATAGCTGACTGCCACAGGTGGCTGATTAGCAAATGAGCCCCTGGAACTAATAAAGTTTACCCAAGCTCAGTGAAGTGGGGACTCCCAAGGGAAACAGGAGGCTGTTGTGTGAA